ATACCAAGGTCATATGGCTTCTGTGGTTTCAGTTGTAGAAAAAAGATTCAACTTTGTTAAGAGGAAAATAAATGAGAGCTATCTTTATGAAACTAGGTGGCCCTGTTTCACTTTCCTTGTTAGGCGAAGACAAACCACCAAACACACATTCACAGGTGAACGCAAAGGCAGGTCGACACACACACACAAGTGCACTAAAGATGAAGGCCCGTCCTAATGGCGTTATTTTTGTGCCTCTATCCTGAGCACGCAATGAAACATTTTGAGCATAGAACATTTTATTGAGATCGCAATTTAACATTTTTGAGCACAGAAAAATATATTTTGCAAGCACAATTGACTAAGCCCTTTCACAAACTCTCTCTCCCTCCCTTTCTCTCCACCCTGTGTGCGCTCAGGTTTGCCTGCGTACTCGCTCAAGAAAATGAAAACCATTCACAGTTAAGAATTAGATATTACTTTTTAATGCCATAAATGATTGCATGCATTTACAGTTTCTTATTTATCCAGTATGATAGATTATGAGCTACGTACGGCAACCCAAGTAGGGCATTTGACACGTTTTGCAAAGAAGTAAAAAAAATACCGACCACATTAATCTGAACGAGAGAGGAGTTATTGTTCTTGCAACGTAATTCCACGATTATTTGAGAATAAATCCTTTTAGTGGGTTAAGTACATTCTTAGATTAAGTGGGAAATGGATTTAACTTATGTTTGACAGCTAACATACTGGAGAAATAAGAAACTGTAAATATGCAATCATTTATGGCATTAATAATTCATATCTAATTCTTAACGGTGAATGGTTTTCATTGATTTAACATTAGACATGTTTTAGTCTGGTCAAACTTGATGGCAACCTAAAATCCCTCTCTTTCCGTATCTCAGATAGAAGATATGATTGGAGACAAAACAGCCAATCAGAATTGACCTTCTCGAGTTCTCCGATTGGTTGGTTTTGTGGCACATTTGTAACGCTGTGCCAACTTGAGCGAGCACGCAGGCAAACCTGAGCGCACACAGGGTGGAGAAGTTGAGCCAGGGAGAGAAAGGGAGGGAGAGCGCGTGCAGCTCACCCTCCCTTTGAGAGGGCTTCGAGTCAATTGTGCTTGCAAAATATATTTTTCTGTGCTCAAAAATGTTAAATTGCGATCTCAATAACATTTTCTATGCTCAAAATGTTTCATTGCGGGCTCAGGATGGAGGCACGAAAATAACGCCATACATCCTCATCATGTGCCAAGAACAGCCGCAGTTTCTATACTTACATACTTACTGGAAGGAAATGTGTGCCAAGTGAATCAACAGTGGTTAAGTCTGCTACTCTAGATAAAGCGATTCATTGCCAGATGGTCGTGATTGCTGGAGCTTTATTTGTAATCCCCCTCATGCCAGTTCCTCTTTGACTCCCCCCACCCCCGCCATGTTCTCGTAAGAGGAAAGGTTATTTAGTCAGGAATAAACACTTAAGAATTCCCTAAATGTCTGCTCCGTCTGTAGAGAGTGGTTCACCAAAGTATTCACTGCTGGGATTGTGAAACATTTGATAATGATAGTCAGATTTAGTCAAACCTATTTTTAGATTAAAGGGGACCTATCATGCAAAATGCACTTTGTGATGTCTTTTATAGATGAATATGTGTCCCCCCCCGGTGCGTCGGGGAACTCACGCAGCGTCAGAAAATAAAACCCTCTCTCTTTTCCTCCGTACCCAAATCTTTTAAAAACAGGGGTACAACGAGCGAATACAGATTTGCTGCCGATCTGACGTCAAATCGGCGGCGGACCCACAGAAAGTTGCTATCAGAAGCAATTCCTGACGTGTTTTGGATGTAATCTCGTCTTTGTTTACATTAGCAAGCCTCGCTAACACTCAGAGCTAACCTGTACTGGAGAGACACACGTGTTTAAAAAGCAGGAAATTAAAAAAAGAACT